TAGGAACTTGATATAATAGTTAATGATGCAGAGAAATCTAGTTGTGGTGGCTGATACTTTAATATCCAACTAACGGTCGTCCGACATCGACTGACTGACCAACTCACTCTGAGTGACTTAGCGACTGCTACTACTCCTACTTATTATAGGTGGGAGAGTCTATTAACAATAGAATAGGTGTGTTCCAGTATAACAATTACAAATTATTTCTGGTATTAAAACCTATTTTTACACAAGTTTGGGTGCTGACTATTTGCCCAAAGCTGGGACCCTAACAGGTGCTACCACCCCGGGTTAGGGTGGACCTGGGAACACCAGTAATTAAGAGGTGGTTCCATGCTCCTCAAAACCTCCTGAGCAGAGGCCTTGCTGCTGGACGTAGTTTATTGTTTTACCCAGGATGCAGATGTAGTTTATCGTCATACCCAGGATGGCTTTCATTAAGAGGGTGGCTTCTGAAAGATCCTATATGTCTGGCAACAGGGCTCTGCACCATGCCGCACAAGCAGGAGAACCCAGTTATGGCTGTCAGACAATTTCTGCAACCACATTATCCCTTACATCTGGCCACTTAACTCCCCAGACTGCAACCCCCTTGATTATTATGTGTGGAGCGTAGTTGAGTGAGAGACAAAACTCCTTGTAACACCAAAGATGAATTGAAGGCAAGAATTATGGCAGCATTAATCAAGTTAAACAAGGAGACCACCCAGAAGAGTTGCAGGAGATTCCAAAGTCATCTGGAGGGAGTGGTTGAAGTCAATGGCAATTTTATTGAATAAATTTACTCTTTAATATTTCAAGATATTTTTGTGTAATTTTGCTAAATATATGTTAAAAAGAGATGTCAGTGTTGTTTTAATTTTTTGTGTAAGTTAGAGGACAATTTATCCATCGCACTTAGTGTGTGTGTATATATATATATATATATATATATATATATATATATATATATATATACCTACACACCCAGACCAATATATTATATAAAAGGAGAGACTTTAGTTAAAAACATAAAGCAATGATTTTAATGGGTTATGAGGAAAATTAAAGTCGAATCATTTGCAATTTATTTAATACAAGCTAAAAAAGTATGACTCAATAGAATATTTTTTTATGTCTGCCTGTGTATGTACAAATATATGTGCATAGTGGCACATTTTGACTATAGAAGCAGTTTCCCTGATGGAAAAAGGAATACAGGTTCAATTCCTGTTTGGAGTCACAATTTTTTTTAGTAGGACTTCTTGATCTAGGCCAGTTGTTATTAATTTAACTGTTTTAAACAGAATAAAAAACAAGGATAACAACTCACATGTTGTACCTACCTAAAAATAATGTTATAGTTATATGTATCTGTATAGAAAGTAGAAGAAAAAAAAATTAGATTTCTGTGCTGTTCCAATGATGAATGTAAAACACTGAATATTCTGAAGGATAGGCTTTTTTTCTCTTCTCTCAACCTTTCCTTCCACTCTCACAGTTGGGCAAGTGAGGTAGATGAAGACTTTTGAACTTTGAGTGACACGGTGTATTTGGAAAGTAAATAGACTTAGGAAGCTTTAATCTTATCTCTTGTACCAGACTCAAAAGGTACAATCAGTGATAAAGGAAATAGAGAGATCCTTTTGAGACTATGTTTAGATTAGGGCTTTTTACTTATCAAGATCATGAAGAGAAATATATTTTCTTACTTTTATAACTGACAAATAAAACTGATTGGCTCAGAGGAACCAATGTCAGATTTTGATACTCTCAACAGTTTATATTGATTTTTTTTTTTTTTAATAGTAAAATACAACATTATTTTCACTTTATAAACTTGCTTTAAAAATATATAATAAAGATGAGGATTTTTTTATTTTTATTTTGCTTGTTGGTAGATAAGTAGATAATAAAAAATCTCCAAAAAGGTACTTTGAATGGTTTGGAATTTTTGTAAGTAACTTATCAGTAACTCCATTGTACCAATTATTATTGTTATAATCATTTTCACTTTCTTTTCTGATTAATAAATACTTTTTAGAATTGGAAAGTTTTATTTTTTCCATGAATTTGGTATTTTTAACATCTTATTAGTTAATTAACATATTTGTTGGCTTATAAAGTACTTATTTTACATTATTCCACATAGTTTTTTAATGCAAATCTTCATAATAGAAAAGTATCTGAAATATTATTGTAAAAGATACAAGCTTAAAATATGTATGGAATAAGGCATGTATAGTAAGTTTTTTGAGACTTCTTTGTGTATAAAATTAAAACAAGACTCCCTTGACTTCCTATTTAAGAACAGGTATTCCTGAGCCATGCATGGTGCTTCTGTACATTTATTAATTCTATCTTGTCTTTTATTCTTGTAGTATTTGACCCTGAAGGAATTACGTTTCTCCTCTTAAGTCACTGATTATCCTCCTTGTGTCAATCTCTAAACACTTAATCTGCATAAAGCCTTAATAAAACATGTATTTAATGAGTAATTTAGACCACACATTTTTCTTCATCTCCTTTTAACAATCTGAGATAAACCTTGTTTAGTTTACATTGCTTCTGCCCCCCCCTCTCTCTCTGGTAAAGTGTTGGATGCAGTGAGTGTGTGAGAAGATAAACTGCAGATGTTTCTTAATAATACAGTGTGCTTGACTTCAATTCTCTTGGGGTCAATTATATTACTCTTATTGGTTTTGTGCAAGACTTGATTTTCAACACTTAATTTTCTTTCAACTGCTTAACTTAGTAGAGTACTAATAATATTAAGCATCTTGATTTCTTTTAATTTTAAAGAAATTCAGAATATGAGTTATTGGCTTATTGATTGATTAATTTATATTGTCTGAACTTCTGAAATGAGTTATTGTCATTTTATGACTTATTTTGACTAGTATAATTATCTATATTGCTTTTATCTTATTGTTTTAACTAGAAAAATGCTTTGGCTGACATATGGTAAAAACAAAGATATAAGTCTAAGTAACTCTTGAAATGATGATTAATCTACCAAAATAAAAACCATATATTTATTACAACACATTTTTACATTACCAGAACCTAGTAGGCTTTTATAGTTTCATAGTTGCCCATAGGACGCACAGTAGAATAATGGATAGCGGCTTGGATTGAGAAATCAGAGAGCTGAGTTTGGATTCCAGTGGAATCCATTACATTCACTTACATGCTAAATACCCTTGGGAAAGGTATGAATCCTCTTCTTCTCCCCTCAGCTATGTGTAATTAGGACAGACTGGGTTCTATAGCCTTGGATGGCAACTGATCTACCGCAGAAAGAAATGGCAACCTACTTCAGGAAAAAAATCTGCCTCGTCAGTCATATAGCGAAAGATACATGATCGCCTATGTGTGTATCATGCATGGTACATAACTGACTGACTGAGTTGCCCATCTCTGTGTAGTGTAATCTTCTAGTGACGTAGTAGAAATAAAATTTTATGTTTATGTTAAACTTGAGAAATAAAACTGCAATATTTAATGGTGAATAGAATGCTATTTGTTATTCAGGGAGGAACATAAAGTTTTTGATATTTTATAAGTACAATGCAGTTTGAAAATTAAATGTTGCCATCATTTTTGTCAGTATAGTAAAATTAGTTTGTAATAATTTGCAGACTTTAAAAAGCTTCTCTCTATACACTGATGTACATTGAAATGGCTAAATTGTTGATTTTATGGCAATTAAACTTTCTGGTTTTGACATGATTTGTAGCAAACTGAGCTATTTCCATTGTTTATTATTGTTTGTCTCTTCTTTTCTATTTTTTGTTTTTTAAATTTGTGTCTTAGTATTTGTTCTTTGAAAACAATATCTACTCTATAGATAACACTTGTTATTTGATTACTACTAGTTAGGGATTTTTATGCCATCAAATACAGTAAATAACTTGCATCTTGCAAACCTGTCTAATATGAAGTGCCTTATCAATTATGTTACAGAGGCCTATCAGCAAACATAATGCAAATTTAGTCATGTAGCTACACTCATTACATTATTTGATTTATTCCATATCATATTGTTTATTTACTAACTACTACCACCACTAATAGTAGTAATAATAGGCACATGACTGAGTGGTTAGAATAATCACTTTCTGGCCTTGAGACCCATGTTTGGATCTCACCATTTGTTCATTGAGATGACTTCTTGATGTTATTTCACTGGGGAGCTGCTCCTAGCATGCTGCAACTTTAGAAAGTGCCTGAAAAACATACCTGTAACAAGTCCCTGTGGCTGAGGGTGTGTTCAAGAAATTGATCATGCCAAACTATGCACTCTTTCCAAGGAACTGTAACTAAGGTCCATTGAACAGAGTTGCAGTATAAACCACTGCTCCGTGGATTGAGCAGACATCTGTAATAGGATTTGGCTTGTGATCCTGGCAGGCAGGTTTTTTTTGGAAATGAATAGTAGCCAGTAGTTTATTATTAGTAATAGTAGTAGTATTAAGTTGTCCAAATTATTATCATTATTAAGTAATGTATATTTTTCCTTTCATCTTTATTTTATCTCTTTCATATTTCCAATTTATGCTGCTTATTTAACAGTTATGCGATATAAAAATGATCTGAATGTTGTGATAAAAATGTAAAAGAAATAAGATGAAAGAAAAGTATTCAAAAAATAATCTTGACAAAGTTTCAGTTAAATATCTACACAGTTTAGAACTATTGCTTTACTTTGCTTATAAATCATATTTCTTTGGGTTTTGAATACTTTGTTTTTCATTCCTTTTAATAATGTCTATTTTTGCTGTCATATATAATTGTCAGTATGATAAAATGGTGTGTTTTCTCATGACTTGTTCAAAGCTCCATGGCAAGCATACATTGATCATCTTTCATCTCAGCAATTATGAATACATATATGTTGAAATAACCAAATAAAATCTATCTGTTTGTCATTCATATGTAATTATATTTATGTTTATTGTCTGTTTCAGAAATTGGAGGAATCAGTTCTGAAAGAGAGCACCAGTTTGCAGTCCAAAATGGAAGAAAGCTCCCCTTCAACCAAGGCACGAATACGTGAAATCATCACAAAAAATCTTGGCAGTGATGATGTAACCCGCACAAGCCCCCCAAATGGCTCCACTACTCCCACTGTGCAGATTCTGCAGGAAGAGAACCGGTTACTGGCAGTGGAGCTCAATCGAGTTGAAGACCTTTTGTCTGCTAGTCGAGCAGAGCGGGATGAACTGGGGATCAAGTACAGTGCTATTAGTGATAGGGTAAGTACAATCTAAAAATTTTCCATTGTGTGTGGATGCTTATTTTTTTGCATGTAGATTGAGAAAACTGATTCTGCTATGTATGAAAATCTGTCTTCCTTTTGTAGAATCAGTTTTATTCAAGACCTATCTTCAAAATTAAGGTGTATCTAAAAAACATAAAAGATTATTTTTCATATAAAAGTTTTTACACTATGAAAAAGAGATTGTAAAAATGCATTTATAGATTGTTATGATATATTGCTCAGCACAGTTAATCAAATAAATTGTTTTTATTTAAAATCATGAATCTTTTTTTTTATACTCAAAATCATATGAATCTTTTTTTTTTACTCAAAATCATATGAATTTTTAAGTGATAAGTTATCACATTGTTTATTGTGTTTGCATATACAAGGTTAATCCACGTTTATATAATGCAATGCGTATACATAGAGATATATTTTGTGTGTGTATAAAATTTTCACAGTGTATACAAATATTTCACTTTGATTCTCTGCAAATGTTTCAGAGAGAAATACTTTCATCCTAGACAGTGTGTGCAAATATTCTGTCATTTTTGACAGGCACTATGCTAGTAAAAGAAATAATAAAACTATATGAATAAATATAGGAAAGTTGCATGTGTTGGATACTTATAAAGAACATTCTCTGGTTTTATCTACAGACTGAAAGGAAATGATGAGAAAAACTTTCAAGCAAAAGTAATGTAAGGTTTTGTCTTCATGTTTGGTGACTTTCTTTAATGATGTATTTTGGAAAGAAGTACATTTAGTGCAAGCAATAGTTTATAATTCATGTTAACTGGTTTAAGTTGGTTCTTTTTATTGTTTCTCTGCTTCCCAAAAGTGTCATTTAGTCAACAAAATAAAGGCATTAATAAAAACTTTCTTAATCAAATTTACTAGCAAAACATTTCTCCTTTTTTAGAAAAAAAAACACTAAAAATCCAATGAAATCTTTAAAAATAACTTCTGGGACTAAGAACCTTAAAAATATTTTATTAATTTTTCTTAATCACAGAGAATTATTTTGTTCTTTATTCAGATTGGACCTAATATTTTTTTTTGCAAAAAATAAAAAGAAAGAAAAACAAACTTTTAATTCCAATATGATTAAATCTGCATAAGCCCTACTGCCTTCTCAAACTTTCTCTTCTACCCAGCCGGACATTGACAGACATTTGCCCAACTTCCATCACTTGTTTGTTGATAGATCAGCTGCTGGCATTTCTCCAGGTTAAAAAAAAACAAAAAAAAGTCCAGTGCACTACATACCTGTCAGAAGAGTGAATCTATTCTTATTCAAGTATCTTTAGCTTCATCTGTCATTCCATCATTGAACAAATTAGGATCTTCCACGTGTCTTGCTCTTTGTTGACCAACGCTGAAAATAGGTGTTGTTAGTTGTACACTCTACTTCTCTTGTACAGTGTCCTTGGCCCATGTGATGAGAGTGGACATTGATAGAAATACTCCTTTGTTTGTTGTAATGTCATCTAACATGTGTAAGTCATATCTTGTAAATCTTTATTTTCTTGGAAATTATCACATTGTAAAATTACTTGTGCAATTTCTATGCTAAATTAGCTACATATTTTATCTTAATAACTTTTTAAAAGTGATTGTTATTTATCATTTTTTTTTTTTTTGATTACTAGCTAAACAAATTACTATTACTTCTTAAAGTGCACAAAAACACATTTGTACTATATAATTGTGAGTGTTTTTCATTATATGTATTTTGTAAAATTTTGCCACAGGTTTGTAAACATCATTGTTAAATAATTTGAAAAAAGATCCTGATGAGCGCCTCAAGCTATTTCTTTCTGGGTATTGATATAAAGTTGGATACTATGAGTTATTATGTGCCCTTAAGAGCTAGGTAGGTAATTGCTTATTCTCTTGATAATATAAGGCTACACACATGCACACAATATCGGATTAAAATAAATCCATTAATTTTTTTAGGAATTGCTTTGTTTACATTTAGAATATGAAACTGAGCAGATATGGACTTTTGAGAAAAATAATCTGAGTGAAGAGGAATGTGCTTTCCTTAAAAAAAATTTAGGGGGGAAAAGAGCCATGCTTATGAGACATTCTTTGTGGCTAAGTGGTAAAGTACATGGGATCAAATAGTGGTTTCTCCAACAAAAGAAGACACAAGTTCAATCCCTGCTAGAGAACATTTTTATTATTAAGAATTCTTAAGTATGCAGACTAATAGACATAGTAAACACTGTTTAATAAATAAAAATGAGGTGTCTATTTCAAATACGAAGTGTCCACTGTAATAGCATTTGAAGTAATATATATATATATATATATATATATATAAATGAAGAGAAAGAACAAACAGATTTAGAATCCATATTCTTTAGCATTTAATTTTTTTTAAAAAGTGCTTAGTACAACATAGAGCATAATATTTTTAATTATATTTTTATTTAAAAATATTTTACATTGTGACATGGAAATTTCTGTTTTGGTACTTAAAATTGTTTTTATCCTGTCATCAGGCAATGTTTGGTAACTTTTGATGAAAATGAATTACTTTTGAAAACAGAAAACAATACGTTTGCTTATTAAAGAGTTAAGTAGGAGGGGGGAACCAGATTTTTAAAATCTTATGGGTATGTCTCGCTTGACTAATCAAAAGACAGGTCAAAGCTAATGCAGAAAAGTTAAAAATATAGGTTAGATATTGGTGGCGGTGTGTGGTATTCATACATGTCTCGGGGAACTGTCATATTAAGGCACAACCTTATACTTCCAGTTAAGAATATACATTTAAGTTATGAAGAAATAATCTGAGAGATATGTATATCTCTAACAATAGGTTATTTTTATTTTTATTTTTTTCTTAAATTATTTTTATATATTTTAGAACTATCTTAAAGTGGGCTCTGGTATGATTAAATCATTTATACATAATTTTGAACCTAAAACACAATACTTATTCAACGGGCCTTTAATACATGGCAATATTAAAATTAAAAATTCAAGGAATTAAATCAGTATTATATGTACCCTTATATATCATAAAATAATGGATATATAATTGTGATACATAGATTTTTTATGAAAAATCCATTAACTATATTCTGACATAAACATTGTACAATTCCTACATATTACAGTCAGTTCATTATGCTGATTTAATAGATCATTATTTTTAGGAAACTTAATAATATATAGCTTTTCATGTAGACACAGGGAGCATGGGTCATTTAAGGACTTACAAATTCTCGTCTTTTTTTAATATTTTCCATTTTACTATGGAGGTTTTATTGATTTCTTTTAAATGCCAAAAATATTTTGTAATTACTATTATTTTTATTTAGGTTTAAGTGTTTATTAAAAATTATGTTTTTATAATTTTTCCTAGATTATCACTACAGCTATAACTTTAATGTATTCTTATTAAAACTCTCATATAATAGTGGGAAGAGAAAAACTATCATGATTAGAAGAGCATGTAAAATGGCCATGACTCAAGAAAAAAAAAGTAGTTCTTTTTGTTTATTCCTTTTCTGAAAATGCTTTTTATTTCAGGCAAATAAAATTTATATAATTTCTTTAACTGTAAATGACAGATAGTACAGTTTGATATTAGCCAATAAAAGAAAATAGAATGAATAATTTTAACAGAGCACTCATCTTTAGCCTTTTTTGTTGTTAGATGAGGATATTTTTTAGAAAATTTACATTGATATTGTAGAACATTTTTAACCACTTGGAAAATGGTTGATGCAGTATCTTGCATAAAAATCTTTTTTTTTTCTTACTTTAGCAGTAAAGTGGAAAATTGGGCAGTGATATAATACAATTCCTACATGGTGAGGAAAATAGTAAAAGGAAGTGTTCTGAAGCTGCTGATAAAATATTTCAATGATACAGCATCACACAAAAGTATTCTAGTTCCAATTGGTTAAAATTAAATACTACCTTTATCCCATAATTGTTACATTTAGTGATAAATGTGTATGTAAATGTAACAATGATTATGGGACAGCAGTAGTATCATTTTGAAGATCTATACAAAAAGTATTATTTTTTGAACTAGACTTTTGATGAAAAACTTTTTTTTTTTAATTAAACAGTAATGACAAATGTGAAATTATTTCATATCAGCTTTAGTGTTTTCCTATATATATATATATATATATATATATATATATATATATATATATATTAGAGTAGATTGAAAAGTTCTTAGCCTTACCAAGAAGGTATTCAAAAATAATTTATGATGATTGATCTTTTGGTCAGGCTGAGAAATTTTCAGCGCTCTTTCTATATGATTGAATAGGTTTCCATAGCTACAAAGTAGAATGGACCGAGTTCAAATTAAAAAGTTAATGCAGGTCAAAGTTGTAAAGGACACATTGATCGAAAAGTTTTTATTTCCATTCAGTTATCTTCAAGTATAAAATCTATTCTGCTAGAATTGTTAGCACAAGTTTTCACAATGAAATATTTTATAAGCATTTTGTATTTTAATTCTAGTCTTGTTTTTATGCACAAGAAAAAGGTGATGATTATAAGACAATGTTGACCAGGTTGGTTAAAAATATACAAATATATTTGTATGTTTAATATTGCATGGATAAAGAATACTTTTCAATTTTCTCATTGTGGTTTCTGATCCACATTTAATATCTCAAACTTATAATAAAAAATAGAAATGTGTGTCAGCACAAATGCTTTTCCATGGTGTTTTAAATGTGATTGGTTAAGATGGTAGTATTTTTTTCAATGTAACAGAAAAAAACTTTTCATCTGATATTTGAGTGCAGCTGTTTACTATAGTTACAAAATCTTAAAATGTCAAAATTAAAACAAAATATTTATATAAAGTTTAATAAAAAAAATTAATGATAGTTTTTATGCTTTTAGTTTTATAGGTAACCTTACAGGGTGTTGGGAAAATCATGTATAGGTTACACACACACAAATCATTTTATATCTCTTGTTAATACTTGGTATTTTTTTGTG